GTAATAATAACGCGTCCACCTCACTTAAGAAGAATAATTTGCAGCCTTAGACAGAGGCATCATCCAGAGGAGCCAGCAAAGCTCTTAAACCCTCTAAGATAGAGTAAGGTTCTAGACTGAGGTTGATGCTCAGCTGAATGGACTCCCAGCAAAGCTTTTGCAAAAGGGCAGCTTATGAATAGATGCTCCACAGTCTCTCCCACAACCGCCTAAAACCACTACTACACTGTTTTTAGTTTTGGTTAGATCCGATCTGTAGAGGTCATTGTCGCAGCTACCTCTAGCCAAGGGCCTCAAGAAATTGCCTAGAAATCAATTTCTTGTGCGGTCACCAGTTAGTACCGTGGCCTGCCTCTAAACACTATCACAAACTAAAAATCAAGCATAAAAGATAGCAGTTTTTTTAAAATTTTTAAAGAAACCCACTAGCAATGAATGGCAGCCCATCCGTCACAAGTCACACTTAAGGGTGTGTCAAGTGGTCTACCACTGTAACTATTATAAGATACTATCTTTTTTTTATTAACTGTCTAAGGATCTTGTATTAAATAATCATTCACTAAATGATCTTAAATGAAAAAATGGACTATAAGGTTAGATCTTTTAGAGAGCTATAATTTTAATATATGGCATGTCTAATCCAAGGTCTTTGAAAATATTTAAAATTTTAAATTTCGAAATATGAGAACATGACATATTTGGAAAACTAAAGGATTTCTAATAAAAGGTCATCAACTATAAAATTTTAGATTTCGTTGAGCTCTACAACTTTTATATAATTTTTTTTTGAAACAATGGCAGGAGCTCTGCCTTTCAATTAAGACGAATGAAGTTTATATACAAACAAAGGTAACCAAGCGTGGTGCCAAACACTGCGAAAGGTTAGCCCACCCACGCAACGCGGTAGAGTACACACTACCATGAGTCATCGTTGCCGAGCGTGGCTGCAAAGCAGCCAGCAGCTCCGACTTCCCATGGCAAAACACCGACGACCCATCTTAAGATGATAGACCAATGGGCCGAAGCAAGAGGCTGCAACATGTCATCGTTGCCGAGCTCAACGGCTCCGCGAAGAGCAGCTCCGACTTCCTGCTTTGATCCCACGCCTCGCCCGCGGCGATTGCCGAGCCGCTAAAGCTGAAACCCAACCATCGGAGAAGGAGGGTTCGACCCGTGTTATCGTTGCCGAGCTACATCCCCTGATGCAGCAGCTCCGACTTCCCGATGCAGAACTCGCCGCCTCGCGTCAACCGGGCGCCGAAGAGGCAGAGGACAACCGCCGAAGGAGACATCATGGCCGAGACGAATTTCCACAGCGACGCCTTCAGAAGGGTACGACACAGATAGTGTCGCCGCCGCTTGTCCAGGAATGGACCAGGTTTCCACCCGTGGAAGACATGGCTGGGGGCACAAGAACACGACGCCCCCAAGAAGGAAAACGGCGCCCACAGGCGTCGCCGTCGCCAAGGCTTTCGCCCGAGGTGCCCCTAGCACAAACGTCGAGCCAAGATGTCGTACCGTAGCCTGTCGCCACCGTCGTCGTCACTGCCATCCCACAGAAGCCCCTCCAGAGGGGCATCGACGCGCCGGCTGCTCACAGCAGCCGCACAGCTGCGTCGGCCGCCACCCCCTCCGACCGGGTAACATGCAGAGGTGGACTTACACTTTCACGCACGTCACCCTGCCGCACGCCGAAGCCGTCGCCAGCTGTCGTCGCCGGCACAAGCACCCACCGTCGATGTTGCCGACCTCCGCCAGCCACCAACAGGCGCATGCCCCACCTTGGGCGCCGCCCCCTGCCCTGGGGGCACCAGATCTGGCCATCAGGGCGGCAGACCCGGTGACCCCGGCTGGCACCACCACCTCCATGCCAAGGCCGAGGAGGAAAGGGGGAAGCGGAGGAGGAAGAAAGGGCCCCCGCCACCACCCGGCGCCTGCACGGGCACTGGCCAGCGCCGCAGCCGCAGCAGGCGGCCCCGCCGAGCCCCACGTGGCTCACGCGAGGGCACGCCCCGCCACTGCGCACGCCGCCACCAAGCGAGGAAGAGGAAGAAGCCCGGCCCTGGGCGACGCAGCCACCACCACAGGCGCTCTTGGAGGAGCCGCCGCCACCGCCGCCCAGCGCGCCCCCAGGCGCGGCCCGCCGGAGATCCGCGCGAATCCGGCCGATGGACCGCCGGATCCGGACGCCGAAGCGAGGAGGCTGGCCGCTGGAGACGCCGACGCCACCCCCTGCCCCAACGACCACGCCGAGCCCCAGGACGCGAGCCCGTCCCCGACCGCCGCAGCCACCACCGCGAAGAAGAGCCTCGCCGCCGCCCTCACGGCAAGCTGCACGGCCATGCCGACGGCCTGCTCCGACGATGGCGCGGCTGGAGAGAGGGAGGGAAGGGAGAGAGGCGGCTATGGTTTGGGTCGCCTCCCGTGTGGCCTACGTGGGGGCGACGCGGGGGCTGGGGATGTACAACTTTTATATAAAGTTAGCCTTTATCTAGCTTCATCTGAAAAGTTATGAGTTTTTTTATGAAACCTTTTTTAGAAGCGGGTCATATTACCAACCATATGTCTGAAAATCGATTTCTATTAAGCACCGTCAGTGTTTCTAACCGTTCTTAGAAATGCCTGTATTTTTAAAGGCAGTTGGTTGCACCTAGAGATGCAAGTTCAAAATATTTTGGGTCATCAGTCGACCCAAAAACTTGATCAAATGAACTAGAATGTCATTCATGTAATTTAATGGAAGAGGAGAAATGAAATAGAATGGCATTTGACTGTAATTAGTTAGCTGACATAAAAAAACACAATTGGGTGCCCACTTGCATCCCTAGTTGCACCAACCACCCATGTTTGAGCTCTGACCCGTATAGGATAAACTCATTGTATAAACGGTATCATTTAACAAAATTCAAACCTATACATTTTAGTACAGATCCTTTCTTTTCTAAAACATTTTTAGAAAGTGAGCCTACCTCAAGTGGATGGGTTCGAGTCCTACCCTTGCTACTTTTTTTCTTTATGTTTACATTAAGAAACAATCCCGTCAGATGGACTTGAAAGAATCTTTTTATTTTTTTGCTTTGTATAAACAAGCTTTTTTTGGCATCCATGTTGGCCCTAAATGATGTCAGAATATGTACATTGGATGTTGACCCATTCGCAAATAGTTTAGGTCGTTCTTATTCAGAGACATGTTATTAAGCAACTTGTGCCAAATATGTAGCAAGCTGTAAAATATCAAGGGCAATAATTCAAACTGTGCTCCTAAGTCATAAACACCAGATTAAGAACTAAGATACCAACTAATGTTGTAGAAAAATTGTGTCTGCAGCTTCCTAGGCGCCTAACCGTGATGGGGACTCAACATATTTCTTGATAGATATGTACGACAACAACTACCTCTAATCTGATCTACTTAGTATCATTTTTGGCATTGACGAAATATCTATTTGGGAGCCGCACCAGTCTAGGTCTGCAAAAAATTGCATCACCCCACAAATTACAAGCGATTCCACGAAATCCACATTCGTAAAAAAAACATGGATTTAGGGCCATATTCATGGATTTTATAGAAGTCCACAAAGGATGCTCTGAAAACACTGATTTTGTAACTTCCCGTAGAGTTGGGTATTTATGCTGAAAACGTTGACTAGTTTTACTTGACCATTACTTTTCACGTAGTATATTTTTATATATCTTAAATTTATATAACATAATGAAGTAGAAGTATTTGTGTTGAAATCTATTACTTGTTTTATGTGAAAATGATAAAATTCATGTGTGTTGTCAGCATTGTTAGAGGACATCTATTTGGATAGTAGAGGAGGGAATGACCCTGTTTGGAACCGATTAAAATCGGATCCTCAGCCACCACACCGCGAGAATAGAAAAAATCGGATTCTCAAATGTCTCTCAGTATCGATGATTAGTTTTACCATGCAAGACTCACCCACCGCAAAAATGAATCGGGAGTCTGATTTCTCATACCGCGAACTCTTCGACCCCAGCTATGTTACCGTAGCGTGCGGTCACAAAACGCATACCCAATCAGGGCCAATAAATTGTGTATGACCAGTTTGTCATATTGGTAGCTTTTTCCCTCATTTGTTTGTTTCCGTGTTACTGATAGTTATTTTTGTGGGGAGTTGGAGACTGGAGAATTTTGGTTTAGTTTTATTATTTGAGCCTCGTCCACTGAATCAGGGATCGAGTATGCACGGGCTAAATGTTGTTGATCTGTCAACTAGTTTTCTTTTCACATACCAAGCGGGAGAGAGACTACGGAGCTAAATTTTGGTGAGATTTGGCTGATTGACACTGAAGTAAATCAACATCCAGTGGCCCCGTTCGGCTTACCTTATAATCCGTACTACTCAACTTGTTTTTTTTTCAGCCGGAACAGTATTTTTCTCTCACAATAATTTAGCTAGAACAGTGTTTTTCAGCCAATTCAGTCAAGTTTTAGCAAGCCGAACGGGGCCAGTAACGGAAAAATCGTTAGGTAACAGCATCAATATTTTGAGGAATCGGTACAGCATCGATATTACAGGATGACAAATTGTTGAGCAAACAATGGAATATCACAGGCGCAAAGCAACATTTCAACAATGAGCGTCTTCAAGGTTACAGAAGGAACCAACTCCCAGCTTCCAAGTCTATTTCTATCTTCAAAAGCAGATACGATATCTCTGTCTCTGTGCTCCCAAATCCCAAGTCCCAACCTCCGAATATGTTCGTTCAATTATTTGCATTCTTAGAGCATTTTTATCGACTGGCTACCATTCAAATGGCGTCCTAGTTTATTTAAAAAAAAAGTCAGAACAGATTGCTGGATGCCTTCGAATTCTTTACTTCCAAGTTCTTTAGTGCCATCCAGGACCACGGCTGAATTAAATTAGTATATTTTCTAGGGCCAATTGAAATGTGAGTTTCCTACATTATCTACTTGCACCAGCTATAAGTAATGCACTTGACTCAGCTAACAAGAGCAAAAATATTCAGCAATGGATGTAGTCTCTTCGGCTCCAGAGGCAGAGGCCCATACGCTCCCTCACATTGCCATCTTCCCGTTCCTTGCCAAAGGCCACACCATCCCGCTCATCCACCTCGCCCACTACCTCCACCGCCACGGCCTCGCGACCGTCACCTTCTTTACCACCGCCGGCAACGCTGGCTTCGTCCGGGAGGGGCTGTCCGGTGCGGACGCGGCCGTCGTCGAGCTCACCTTCCCGACCGACGTCGCGGGCATCCCTCCGGGCGTCGAGAGCGCCGAGGGACTCACGTCCCTGGCCTCCTTCGCCGTCTTCGCCCATGCCACGTCCCTGCTCCAGCCACAGCTCGACGCCTCCCTCGCCGAGATGCAGCCGCCCGCGAGCCTGCTCGTCACCGACCCATTCATGCACTGGACGAAAGCGCCGGCGGCGAGGCTCGGCATCCCGAAGGTGTCATTCTTCGGCATCTCGGCCTTCGCGCAAGTCATGCGGGAGGTGCGAGTGCGCCACGACCCGTGCGCCACGCTGCGGCCCGACGACGTCGACGCCGATGGCCACCCGGCCACCTTCACGGTGCCCGAGTTCCCGCACATCAAGCTCACCTTCGAAGACTTCATGGCGCCCTTCGGCGACCCTGCGTCCATAGCGCCCATGTTGGAGCTCGACAGTAAGCTGGGCAAGGCCATAGAGGAAAGTCAAGGCCTCATCATCAACACCTTCCATGGCCTAGAGGCTCCCTACCTTGATTTCTGGAATCAGCATGTCGGCCCCAAGGCCTGGCCCATCGGGCCCCTCTGCCTAGCCCAACCAACATCAGCTAGGCCCAAAGCCCGGCCCTCTTGGATGGAGTGGCTTGACGACAAGGCGGCGGCTGGTAGAACCGTCCTGTACATCGCTCTTGGGACACTAGCTGCAATCCCAGAATCACAGTTGAAGGAGGTCGCAAATGGGCTGGAGTGGGCTGAGGTGGACTTTATATGGGCTATTAGGCCCGAGAACATTGACCTCGGTCCGGGTTTTGAAGAGCATACAAAGGACAGAGGTTTGGTGGTGAGGGAGTGGGTGGATCAGTTGGAGATTCTAAACCATAGCAGCGTACAAGGGTTCTTGAGCCATTGTGGGTGGAACTCGGTACTCGAGAGTGTGGTAGCTGGTGTGCCGTTAGCGGTTTGGCCTATGCATGCTGATCAACCTTTCAATTCAAGGTTCTTAGTCGATGAGCTAAAGATCGCTGTAAGGGTCCATACAAGTGATAGGACAATTAGAGGTTTGGTCACAAGCAAGGAGATTTCGAAAGTGGTGAGGGCTCTCATACTAGGCGAGGAGGGGGTGGAGGCAGCGAAGAGGGTGGTAGAGCTGTCAGCTAGTGCTAAGGAGGCTATGGTAGAAGGAGAACAATCATGGAAATCTTTCAAAGAGATGATAAATGAGTTCAGCCTGATGAAGCTGAACGGGAATGAAGATGTAAGCCAGGAGGAGAAAGTGGATGCTTAATTAGTGTTTGTTCTAAGTTGTCTATTGTTTATTTTCTTCATAAATAACTGGGTGGAGGAAGAAAAACCATGTTTGGCTATGAACTATGAAGAGAATAATTTCTCTATGAATGATAGATCTTCCATCCATATTTGAGAAAATATAATTTGCTTTGCATGTGAATCAATTTTTTAAGCATATGATTTTTTTAATATCAAATTTTTAGGAATTCCGTTTAAAGATAATTGTTCTTGCCTCAAGATAATAATTAAGTGTGACGCGCAATTCACCTTGAGCCAATTGGGCCCTTGGATCAACGTCCTGATCGGGGCGTCAAACCACCCCATGGTTGGTGGGCCCCTATCGCACAACACCATAAAAGGAAGTTGGGGCCGGGCACAAGGTACGAGGTTGACCTGAGCCGCCGTAACCCACCTACAAAGAAACCCTATCCGATCTAAAGAGAAGGGTGCTGCCAGCAATGGGAAGCCCCACCGACTTCACCGTCGCCTCTGCAGTCCACCGCCGTCACTGCACCGCGCCACTGCAACTACTACACCGACGTGAGGGGACTCGGACAGGATCCACCCTAGGTAACGAAGACCTAGGGAGAGGTACATCACCTAGTTTCCCTATCTAAGTAATGCATTTACCCATTGATCTGCACCTAGAGGTTCAATAAATACTATCAATGGTATCAAAGCCGGGTTGCCAGTGTGTAGATCTAATTTGGGGTAGAAAATAGAAAAGAAACCGAGAGAGAAGTGACCCTAACCCTAACCCACAAATAGTAGGCAGGGAAGACGAACGGTGGGTTCAGCCAAAACCCTAACCGACCGAATCTGCGACCGGGGAAGGGGAAGAAGCAAAGAGATAGAAGGTTTGAACCCTAACTCAAACCCCAAGCACTAACCCGAACCCCTAATCCATCGGAGAAGAAGAAGAGTGAGTGAAACCCTAATCCTAATCAAACCCTAATCCCCAAATCGGACAAATCCAAGAAGAACGAAGCAAGATCTAGGCGGAGAAGAAGAAGGGGAAAAGGGGAAGAGGCCTACCTCACCGTGCACCGCGCTGTCGCCTCGCTGGCATGAGAGAAGAAGGCCGAGAGGGGCGGCTACTCATCGATCTTGTGCAGGCTCTAGCCAAGGGCGCCGCGGCTAGGCCGCTCGATGGCGGCGTGCTCACCCGTTGGGGAGCGCACGTGCCGGCGAGGGGGCTGGCGACGGCGCCATACTCCACTGCGCTCTCGCTCTCGGTCGCTGCGCACTGAAGTGAGAGAAGGGGAGGGAGGAGAGTGAGGCTAGGGTTAAAGGGGGCCGGCCACGCGGGGGGAGCGAGGTCTCACCGGCGCGAACGACGGCACCGCCATCTCCCTCAGGCCATCACGGGCGGCCACCGCCGCATCTCACTCAGGTGCGGGGGAAAGCAAAGAGAGAGGAGGTGAAGGTGAAGAGTGAGACTGAACTAGGGTTTTGGGGGAGCTGGCTGCAGCTGCTAGTTTTGTTCGCGCGAAAAAGAAGCTGAGCCGTCAATCTTAATCGAGCGGTTGCGAGCGGCTGGGCTGGCTTTCGGCCAAGGCGGGCACAAGCGCCGGGCCACTTTCCCGGCCCAGGCCCAAGTTGCGGCCTGGGCGCGGGGGAGAGCGTGCGCGCGGCCGTGGGTCGTGGGCCGCTTTGCCGGTTGGGCCAAAGACAGTAAGAGAAATGAGTCAGTTTTCCTTTTTTTCTTTTTCGAGTAAATGTTTATTTCCTGGAAAATGATTAATGGCTCAAAGAAAATTAGTAAAGAGAATTTTTCTATGGGTACAATTCACAAATTAAGTTTAAGTTTCCGTTGCAAAGTTTAATGTTTATTATCTTCCAATTAAATTCAAACCAAAGGGAGAATTTAATTTGAAGAGCAGTTGTATTTAGTAAATTATAATTATGTTGATCCTCTGATTAAATTGGAACCAACGGAAAAATTTAATTAGAGGAGTAGTCCATTTTTGTTTATGTAAGATTATGGTATTGTCATTTTCTGACCAACGTTGATGATGACAATATTATAACAAATTTAAGTTTGAAGTTTAAATATTTGTAAATGTTACACCAACGTGGTGAATTTTCCAGAGAGTAGATAAGGACCAAGAAATGCTCTTGAACTAAAAGAATGTATTTCATTTAGTTTTCGCTACGATGAAGTTGATTATCTTCTAATTAAATTCGAACCAACGGGAGAATTTAATTTTGAAGAGTAGTTATATGTATTTCAAGTTGATTTACGAGTTTTATGCATTAATTCTATTTTCTGTCCAACGGTGATGTAGAATTGATGCAGAAGCATCTTGTATGTTTTAATTCGACGATATCACTCTGTTGCATGCCAACGGGCTGCAATACTGGGGTATGTCAATGAAAAGGCTTGAGTCAAGTCAGCTGGAGATAGTTTTTATTAGTTTACTAATTTTCTGATTAAATTAGAACCAACGGAAAGATTTAATTGGAAAATGAAGTATAAGTGAATGTTTTAATCATCATCACTAAGTTTTAGTATAGATCTATCCCGCATAGGGAGAAGTTTTGGCATAGTACTTATGCTAGTCAATACTGTATAGCGGAAGAAGTTTTGTGATGATTCACATATTTTGTATCCTGCATAGCGAGAGAAGTTTGGGTACCTCTTATGCTATCCTAGTATTGACCATGGCACAATAGAAATGCATCGTCATGGTCAATACTAACCAAAGGATAAGAAAAAGATGCAAGCTGACTTGCAAAAGTACTTGTAACACCTCTAGTGTTACGATTTTGTTTAGCACCGCGATTTAGGCCTAAGTAAAATTTTCGAAACGAGTTTCTCAGAATTTTTGGATTTAAAATGTACTTGATTTGATAAGTAAATCCCGTGTGATTTAGTTTTGTGGACTCAAATAAACGCCCAAGTTAAATTACTAAGTGCGTAAAGATATTTAGGAATGTCGAACGGTTTGTTCTGTTAGATTAAGCATGAAAAGCAAATTTTATAAATAAAATAAAATCTATTAATAAATAGAATGATATATATATATATATACTCATGGGTTTATTTTGTTAAGCACTAACTGATGAGAAAGATAGCGCAGCAGCTTCATTTATTTTTCTGGCGTACAGTGTACTCGTGGCATGGCAATTATTCATCGTCTCGTCTCTCATCATGAGGCGGCAGTGCAAAGTCTCCTCATCCATCCGCATCCTTACTTCTCGGACTTTGCTTTTGCTTCTCTCTGCCATGATTGCCTCTGTCCGCATCTGTCGAGACAAGCAACCACAGTGGCCATGTGCGCTTGCTTTCTCGCGTCTTTTGTTTGGGAAGATTGTCTAGTCGCTCATTGTTTTCCCTCCATCACTCTCTATTTATCTCGACGTTTGCTGCCATTTTTCACGCTGTCGCACGTGGTTCTGTCCTTGCCACGCTGTGTCCTCTCTCTACCATGCACCGTCGAGTAACCACTGTCTCCGTTGTCCCATGAAACTATTAACCTTGTCGTGCTACCTCTGTTGCCCTGCCCTATCCGCCCCTATATCCGCTTGCTCTACCGAGCTGAGCATCCGCCAGGGTTGTGGCCACGTGTAACGCATGCGCGCGCATGGGTTTGTCCGGCCTGGCTGCGCTAGCTGCCTGCTCATTGCGTCACTTCGCCTGCAAGTGGTTCTGTCCCATGTCGCGCCTATGAAATTGATGATGAACTGCACGGCTCCTTGCTCTCTCTCTCACACGTCTACTTTTCCTAGTCTCCGTCCGCTCTACTGCGCCACTAGGCCTCGGCTGTCACCACCCGCCGTTGTCTCTTCCTTTTCCCCTCTCTCGAGCGCCACCCCTTTCGGTCCGCTCTGGGCCGCTGCCGTCCATCGCGCGCCCATGGTCCCGCAGTGCCGTCCATCCCTTCCCCGCTGCTCGGCCACCATGCGTGAGCGCGCGAAGCCCCACGGCCGCCGCCTCTCGAGCGCTGTGCCTTCCCCGCCGTCGCCCTGCATCCATCGCGAGCGTGCGCAAGACCCCCAGTGCGCCCGTGCCGAGCTCGACCGGGTCTGCCGCTGCCGCTGCGCCAAGCTGTCTCACTGTTGTCCACACATGGCTCCACTTCACCTCCGCCGTCGTGGCCAGCACGCTGCCTGGGAACACCATCGTGCCAGGCTGCGAACCGTAGAGTCCCCGTCGATGTCCGTTGCCGCCGGGCGCCCCTACTGGCCTCCCGTGCTCATGGCTGGACCATCTTGGGCTGTCCCTGGACTTGCCGCCATCACTTCCGGGTGCGGCAGGTACCCCGCTGAGCCACAGTCGCCGCGTCTCCCAATTGCAGCTCTCCGCGCTGCGTCCACGCCATGGTCGTCCATGCCGGTGCCGGCCCTTCCCGCGCGCGCGCCCCCGGTCCTACGCTGGGCCTGCTGCTCCTCGGCGCGTCCATGCCGCAGCACCATCCCTTCCTGTCCCGCTGCTCGACCACCGCGCGCGCAGGCGCAACCAAGCCCCCATGGCCCCACGCTGCTATCTTGTGCATGCACCCACCATGGCTGCATCTTCCACCGCCACGCCGCCGCCGGCGCACCCCGTTGTTGCGTCGCTCCACCGCCGAGGCTACCCCTATGCCGCCTGGTTGCTGTTCCACCCACAGGATTCGGCCAGAGTCGGTCCTCCTCTGTTGCTCTGCTCCTGGGAAAGGAAGGAAGGTGAGAAGGGTATGCATCCAAGTAGAAACTTTGTACAACGATTCGGCCAGAGTCAGTCCTCCTCTATTGCGCGCCGTCTGGGCCGCTGGCTGCGTGCCCACCTGGGCCTTTGGCCGGCCTGCTTTCACGTGCTGGGCTCCCCTGCCTGGGCCGCGTGTTAGGCCGGCTCGCTGGTCGTGGGGCGATCTGATAGTCGCTGGGTTTTTTAGCTTTCTAAAGCGATTGCTAATTTAGTTAGGAAAAAAAATGTAAAATAAATATAAAATTTTGTAGGTGTCTAAAAATGATGAAACCAATTTTGTTAGGTTCCTAAAATCAGTATCTGTTTGT